CAGTAAACTTTCTGCTGATTTTAAACAGTCCTCTCCTGTCGTCACTTCTCGTGCTTCCAACAAAAGAATTGGGTTAATTCCTAACAAGAACAACCAGACATTATGATCTTCTAATACTTCCCTGTTTAGATGAAGTGGCGGGTTAATAACTTACTCTTGGCTATGACGTCCTGTGAACTATAAATAACACACCCCGGGATAAGCTGCACTTCTTGGATTGTTGATCAAAAAATAAAAAGTTTCATGAACTCCTAGTTTATTGTATTACTGTTATTAGTATGACATTGTTTTATGGCATTTTATTTATGTATTATGGTTTTTTTATAAGCAATTTCCACGGTCCGTTATTTAGTTGTTTTGACGGGAGCGAGGGTTGCATCTGACGCAGAGGCAACGTGCGCGTTCACAGCTGACTGCGGAAACATGGTGACCGGGCTTTGAGGGCGGAGCCGGAGAACCAGACCCGTGATCGCCATTGGTTTGCTGATACGTGAACACACGTCGTTGCAGAGCTGACCGACCGTCCCAAGTCGATTCCCAGGTTGACCAGAACCAGGATAAGATGGGAAATCTGTCGCTGCCCGGTGGGTAAGTGGAGGATACGCTGCTGGCGTGTGAGCTGTTTTTTTGGAACTTCCTTGAGCTTTAAAGAAATCCTGGCTGATGATAGTCTATATCCTCATTGCACCTGCATTTAAATAGCGTAGGTGTAACACACCTGGATGAGTGCATGGATGAAAGTGCTGCTGCACAGCTCAGCTCGGTTCCTGGGGGCTTGATGCTTGCCTGCCATGGATGTACAGCAGCCTGCATAGGTTTGTGTTGTGTGGGTGTGTGTGTGTGTGTGTGTGTGTGTGTGTGTGTGTGTGTGTGTGTGTGTGTAGGACATGCAGGACATGCCTGTCAGTATAGAATCTAGCAGCACCACAAACTCTATTTTCCAGAATGACCACAGAGTTGAATCGACGCCTGTATAACAGTTTCCTTCACCTTCAGAAAGAAGGATTTTATGCAGGACTGTTGCTTTTGCATTAGGTTTTGCTCCATGTCGGCCAGTCTAAGAAACTGAGCATGTTAGTAACCATTTTACAGTAATATTCACCACAACAATCTTTTGTGCATAACTTTTTAGTTAATAATTTTAGTCTCTGACTGAAATAAATAGAATCACATATTAGAGAAAATATCTGGTTTTAGGCAAGCATTACTAGTCAATTCATTGTGAACGAAGTAAGCATTTTCTTTGTATATGTGTGCAAACATGTATGGAAAAGGAAAACAAATGTCACTACTGAAAACGTGAGTCCATGTGGAATCAGTGGCTTGAGAGCACTGCCAGTTTATATGTCCTGCTCACTAGATATGTAGCTCACATCATTTTAATAACCAGCCTTTTTTTCTGAGATTTGCACATGTTATTGTGTCATAGATACAATTATAAATAGGCAAAATTGGCATTTTTCCCCATTAATCTACCCCCATTATAGCCCATAATGAGGAAAACACTTTGTGGTTTGATGAGTCAATAACTGAACCCTTTGGGCTGAACTTCAAGTACCTGGCATCATCACTTGGCTAGCACCATTTACATGGTGAGGTGTGTGTGTGTGTGTGTAAACAATAGATGTGTGAATCAGACATTTAAGACTGCATATCAATATTGGTATCATCCTTAAAAATAATCAATGCATGAAGTAGGATTTGTTGGGTATGACTTGTTTTTTTTATCTGATTGTGCCATATAAACTATTTCAGAGTGTGTGAATGATTCATTTTAAAATATGACTTTGTCTTGTCAGTTGTTCCAGTCTTTTCAGGACTAATGCAGCAGTGTCTGAAGAAATCAGAGGAGGGAAGTTCAAGTTAAAGAGGATTGGTAAGCGCATAGCTTATTACTACAGTCCATCCCCAGGGTCAGGAGAACAGGCAACATGTCCTGCCAAAGACTCTCAAACCTCCACCAGTCTGGACCCAATCTCATGTTCTTCAACTCTGCCCTTCAGGGATGTCTCTTCTGCAGATCCCTCCTCGCCTCTGTTGCTCTCAGATTCACCTTCACGCACACCTGCCTCCTCCCAAAGCCAATCACATTGTGCCTCCACTTCCCGCCCGCTTCTTGTTTTCTTCTCCTGGCTTCATGCCCAGCCAGGGTCAGTGACCAAGTACAGGGACCTATACCTGGACCGTGGCATGGATGTCCTCGTGGTCCAGAGCAGTGTGATGTACTTCCTGTGGCCCCGCTGGGGGCTCGACTATGGACTGGAGGTGTTGAAAGTTCTCGAGGAGCCTCAATTCTTAGAGAGGGTGGTGCTGATCCATGCCACCTCCATTGGTGGCTTCACCTTCACACAAGTACTTCACCACGTTACTCAGGCACCGGAAACACATGTAGGCCTGAACCAGAGGGTGATAGGGCACATCTATGACAGCTTGGTGATTGGCAGTCTGGAGCACATGGCAATAGGTGAGTGAGAGTGATCCGCCAGAGTCCCACTGGGGTCAGGTTACATTTGTGTTGGGTATGTGAGTCAGATCTTTAAATAATTCATTAGGCAACTGACTGACTGCTCCAGTTTGTCTGGAGTCCAGGAATTATTTTTGGAAGCTTATTTCTAACCTGCCTTAGAACAGTGTTTGCAACCTTTTAAAGATATTCAGTTTACTAAAATTCTAGAATGTGAAAAGTAACAAATACTCCCATCTGACAAGCTGGATTTATGGAAGAACAAAGACTAAAGCTAGAATAGCTGTGGCAAAATAGTTTTACCTTTTGTGCTAACTAGTTTTGTATTATTTTTCCTTATAAAATATTAACTCTCTTAATGATTTACCATCTGTTTTTGTTCCTCAGGGCTTGGCAAGTCTCTAGTGCCAGCTTTAGAGTGCTTCATCAAAAATGCTGCCATGCTTTACTTCTGGCTCTTCAAAACCCACACAGCAGACATGTATGAAAGAAGCATCCAGCTTTTCCACAACAGCCCAATTACTGCACCGGCCTTCTTCTTTTTCAGTGAAAACGATCCTCTGTGCAATTCATCTGCCCTTGAAAAGTTGATTGACCTCTGGAAGGAGAGGGGCGTGGCTGTGGAGAGCAGGAAGTGGAAGGAGTCTACACATGCAGCCCACCTGCGATGTCACCCAGATGACTATCTCTCTGCGCTGGAAAAATTCTTGACATCACTGCCCATTTCCTACCTCAAAGCAAAAATGTAAACTGTTGGGGTAGTAAAAGTCTGATTTGCCTGTATTTTAAAACTGTAACATGCTTTATGATTTCAGAGAGAAGGCACTTTATCTTACAGCAGTGACACTATTATCACTATAAAGAATTTAACTGATATTTTTTCTCTTCTTTAAAGCATTGTCATTTGTTTAACTTTGCTATTTTGCTTTTAACTAGGGCTGCATACTTAAAATATTAATATGGAGCTTACACCACATGAAGCTTGTTTTGCATAGGAGTGTCTGATATTAAACCAAGACAGACAATATACAAATAAAACAAGCTCAAATGTGAATTGCACTGTTCCAAACAGTGCCTCTGACTTTTTTTTCCCCCAGTTTATTTCATCAGGTGACCACCAACATATTCAAAGAGTGTACATTGATTGGGTTTGCATAGTGCATGAGGGAATTTGTTTGTGACAGGTCGGGCAGCAAGCTATTTTGAACAAGCGTGATGTAGAGCACCTATGAGCAGGGGGAAATGTAAAATCATAGTTCATCTAGCTCATTTCCTAGGACACAAACCTGATCTTGTGCTATGATCAGAACCACAGTGTGAACTGACGCTGCCATGGGAGAAGTAGTAGAAATGGCCCATGAGAGGAAAACAGTAAGGTAGGATATACAGAGCTGACAGTAGCAGCAGAAGTCCTGGTTAAAAACCAAAGGCCTGCACAGCGCTTGTAGGCTGCAGGGGTTATGGTGGCGAATGTCTTTTGTCCATGTTAAGTGACCTAGATATAGAAGGACAAAGCCTAAAGCAGAAAGAAAACCACAGCAGACACTGCAACCAATTTCACTGAATGGCAGCGGGTTTAGAAGAAAGGTGAGTGGCTAGGACATTAAAAAATAAAAATAGTAAGACTTACTCAAATTACCATACAAGTAATAAGATCATTTAAAAATATGCCTTGACTTTTAAATTATGTCATAGAATGAAAAGGCAACAAAATATTGACCAATGACTTTATTGTAAATTTTAATATATTTCATTTTAAAAAGTCTCACATCCTACTGACAAAATAAAATATTACAATATACTGTATAGTGCACTTCAAGCCAAATGCCTTTAAGCACATTAATCAAATACTTCTCCTTAAAACAGCTTGCACATAATAAAATACCAACATACAAAACATTTTTTTAATTGTAAAACGTTCTGTATGAAAAATGTTGCTATAGCTATTTATTTTTTTATATTAAAACTTTAAATATTCAATTCATAAAAGTAAGTCCACAATTATAGACCTGGAGCCAGCATAGAAAAATTTAATGACTGGATGGAAGAAAATTACTTGACAATAAGTCATAAATTAATGTTCATATGTGGTGACTTCAATATAGATTTCTAACAAGAATTCTAACAAGCACACAGGAACTGAGGAGTTTATTAACGCAATATATAGATGCAGTTTATACCCAAAAATTACAAAACCAAGTAGATTAACAACCCAGCATGCAAAACTAATAGATAATATACTTACCAATGTTATTGACAGCAAAATGACAAGTGGATTACCTATAAATGGTATTAGTGATCATCTACCAGTATTTGTGGTTTATGATGGCCAGTATAGAAAAGAGAGGCCAAAAACAAATCTTTTCTATAGGAGGGTGACGAATGAACA